CTAGAATGCCGGGACAATCATCTCATAGTGTACGAGTTATTACGACATTATGACGTCACGGGTTGCTTGATTGTCTTTCTCACGTTACTTATTGAAACAATAGCGGCTTTATTGGAACGAATCTGACACGACTTTCAAGAAGGCAAAATCGGCCGTTATTTTCTGTCTTTTTTTGATTCATGTCGCTTGTATAGTTGTATCCTTGTCTAACAGTCGCCCTTTGTGATAAAAATTAAATAATATAGAGAGTTTGTGGATAATTACCGGTAAATGTTGTTAAATTGAATCATTTTTCTCAAATTACGTAAACAATTACTCACAATTATTTTTGTACATGACAATGACAGTTTTATTACTCTTTGCACTTTCGCGACAGATGTTGTTGAGCTATTATCTGATTTTAAATTTGTTTAATTATTCTCAAGATAAAATATTAGACGTGAAAGTTGCCATTTTGTAATTTAAATTGTTAATAAAAGGATTAAAAATAAAAAATAAAAAAAAATTAATACTGGTTACATTTTTATATACCAGGTGAATAAAAAGTATGGAACCAAACGTTTTTTGCTTAAACTATTTATTTTTTGAAAAAACTAATTGATGGGTGATAAAGTACTATAAAAATGTGATGATTTAACTAGAATAAAATTTTTCGAAATTTCCTTTTGTTTTTGAGTTCTACAAAAAAAATATTTTTTTAAATGGCAACCCACTATAAAATCATTTTTCTCATAAAAGCTATACTCTAAGGATTATAACTATCTACTTTATACAAAGTGCGCCAAAACTCGCGCCCCAGAGAAAAATGCTATATAAGGTAAGATACCAGGAACATGGAAAAAATGTTAAAAAAAATTATCTATAAAAATTTCGAAGTTATGAGGGTTTAAAGTTTGCACTATGACTCTATTTATTTCTGTTGGAAAAATAATTTTCCAAGTTTTTTTGCTATAGGCTATTTATTAAAAGAGGAAACATCCTAAATTGTAACTCTGTTCAATGTTATTTGTGGCTTTTATTTGCAAAATTTTTGTCCCGTTACAAAATAATTGTAAAAAAACATATACAAGATCATCAATATCATTAAATAGATATAGAAAATGTCAAATGTCAAAAAATAAATGTCAAAATTTTTTGACAGATGGAATTTTTTAAACATTTTTTTCATGTTCCTGGTATGTTACCTTACTTGAAAATTTTCTCTGGGGTCGCGAGTTCTGGCGCATTCTGTATTTAATTTTTTGAAAAAAATTTTTTCACATAAATTGCAATTTTGACAAAAAAAATCGCATAACTCAAAAACAAAACAAGATTTCGTTCTGATTTTTATATTACTTTAATTTATATTAATTATTATTTTCTGGAGACAAATGATTAAAAATAAAACCGCTTGGTTCTATACTTTATATTAACGCTGTATAAATAAGCACCAGAAAAAGGCAAGAAAAAACAAAGGAAATAAAATTACATTTTTAAAGGTTAAATAAACACTAAGAAAATAACAATGTTAAAAAAAACATTAAAAATTGAATAAAATAAACATTGACAGAAATTAATCCTATAGATGTAGAAAAAACAATTAACACTAAAAATCGTAACACAAGCAAATAAACATAAAAGAAATTTTGAACAATTTTTTTTTATTGCGTAAAAAATTTAAATTTCAAAGATTTAGACCGTGTCAGGTGTCAAGTTTAATTGAGACCTTGTTCATTTAAAAATAAAAATAATTGCAATTATTTTTAAAAACTGGTATTACAATGAAAACCACAACAACTGCTCTTTAATTAAAAAATGTTACTCACACACTATAAATCTTAAACAAAAATAGAAAAAATAAAATTAGATTGAAATTCCGCCTTGCATGCAAGTCATTAAACAATTATTAAATAATTTTGCTTTTTGTTATAACAATAATTTATAAAATAATTCGATATTGCGTTAGCAGTAAACGGAACCTTGATATGAAAACTTTTACTCATAAATTCACGAAAACTGTTGTTCAATTGCAAAATTTGCAAAACTTGTCGAATTTCAACAACATAAAAACTGTAATAAAGTGGTCATCTTCTAATAAGGACACGTGTAATCCAATAAAGTGCAAATTCGTGTTCAACAAGATTATGATTAATCGTTGAAAATTTTAAATTTTACATTGTTTGAGCTGAAGATAAAATTTTGTTGATTAATAAGTGTGCCACTTTCGGGCCACCTGCATCTAATAAATCCATTTATTACTAAATAAACCGTTGAGAAATCTATTAAAGTAATAAAGCAGTACTTCCGACTGATGAATATTCCACATGCACGCATACAACGAACGTCGATTACATGTGTTTGGAATTTTACGCACTGAAAACTCCACGTTTCAAAATTTCGCTCTTGCTCAGAAGGTTAAATTCCTTCACATTACGGATTCTTGTCACAATACTTCCGCTTTTTCGAGATACGACGGTATTGTTTGCGACTTTCTTAATTCTTTCGCGCTAATTAAAAATATATTAAATTTACGAATGTATGACACAGCGCAAATTAGATGTAGTTTGTGAAAATTGCTCGAGTGCTTTCGACGACAGGAAGAGAACTACTTAATTCATTTCACAGATTTAAAGCGAGAGTGACTAAGACAAATAAAACGGGTTTGAGGGCCGAAATAGGCCATTAAAGCACTCGATTTTTATTCTCTTTTTTTAGGAATATTTATCTACTATTATTGAAGGTGAATGTAAAGTATTAAACCAAGCGTTTGTTTTTAATTATTTCAAAAAATAATAATTAATATAAAAAATGTGATAGTATTTTGAGAACAAAATTTTGTTTTATTTTTGAGATAAAAGAGAAAAAGTGTAAAAAACAAAACATGCAATAAACAAGATAAAATACCTGTCGTTCAATTTTTCTCTGCTTTTCTACTTTTAAATCTGTTGCTTTATTAAATCTTATTTCTTTTTCTCCTTATCATTTATCTTTTTTATTTTTATTCTTTTTCTTATTTAATTCAAATTATTTGACAAGAAAATATGTACAATATGTTTTTATAATTTCTTTTCTTCATCTTCTATTTGGTATATAACTTCTTCATTTTTTGTCGTTATACTTATCACTTTCTCTTTTCTTACACTTTATTTTTCATATTTTTTTTAACTATATGTATTATTATTTTTCTTTTGATTCTTTTACAATTTTATTTATTAGCTTCTCTAAAACATTCTTCTTGTTAGATTTTTATTTCCTAAGTTTTCTTATAACTATTTTTTTTCTATGACTTGCTTATTCTGTCTTCTTTTTCTTTCTGCACTTTTTTTCTCATTATCATTTTCTTCTTTTTGGTGTAAAAATTGACAATAAAAAAGTATTTTCATTATTGTATTACTATTATTGTAGGTATTATGTGTATTTTATTTCATTTTCTTCTTTATTACAAACTTTTTATGATTCTTCTTTCTTTTGATTTTTCTCAGTTTTTCTTTTTAGTTGTTTTTCTCATCTTGTTTTGTTTTTCTTTGTTTACATTTTTTATTCTATGTACATTTATCTGTAATTATTTTGCGTTTTTTTTAAAGACTGACTATTAAAAATAGCAAAAAAGAAAAAGAAAAAGGGTAAAAAAACACATACTTCAAAAGTATGAAGATATTGAAGAAAGAAACGATAAATCATAAACATATACAGGGTAAATATAAAGTATGGAATCAATAAGCGGTTTGTTAATCATTTGTTTCTAGTAAATAAAAATTAATATAAATTAAAGTAATATAAAAAATGTGATTGAACTTTGCGAACAATTTTTTTGTCAAAATTGCTATTTATGTAAAAAATTAAACAAAAATTAAATATAACGTAGATAATTGTAATCCTTAGATCGAAACCCTCATGAGATAAATGGTTTTATAGTGGGTTCCCATTTTAAAAATTAAAAAAAATAGTAGAACTCAAAAAGAGAAGATTTCGAAAAATTTTATTCTTGATAAAACATCACATATTTATAGTATAGTAGTTTTTCCAAAAAAATAAATAGTGTAAGCAAAAAACGTTTGGTTCCATACTTGTTATTCACCCGGTAGAGCCAACAGTAAGGTTTTTACGTTTCTGCGTTGAGTTTTTATACTACTTTTTGCATTCTTTCGTTATACAGGGTGCGTCAGAACTCGCGCCCCTGAGAAAAAAATTAAGTAAGATAAGATACCAGGAACACGGAAAAAATGTTTCAAAAATTCTATCTGTCAAAAAATTTTGACATTGATTTTTTGACATTTGACATTTTTTAATGATACTAATGCTTTTGTATATGTTTTTTTACAATTATTTAGAAAAGGTACAAAAATTTTGCCAATAAAAGCCACAAATAACATTGAGCAGAGTTACAATTTAGGATACAGCTTTTCTAAAAAAAAAGTGAAAAATTTAAACTTTCATATTTTATATAGTATTTTTCTCTGGCGCTCGAGTTCTGGCGCACTCTGTATTTACAAAAAAACACTTTAAAGTTTACGTAACGTTTTTAAGTCTGCGTTATTTGTTGCATTTTTTATGTTTACGTACTTACCTTGCGGATCTATAGACTTTTTTTACATGTTTTTTTGTCAAATTTCCAAAAAAATACTTTAATGTTTACGTAAGTGCTTTCATTATTATGTTTTTACGTTCTTAAGTCTGCGTTTTTTATGTTGTAATGTTTATGTTCTTACCTTATGGCTCTACACATTTTAGTTGCTATTATTTTATTATTTGGTTTATTTTTATTTTTATATTGTTTGTTTTTTAATACTAATGCTGTTTGAATGTCATCAAAGTATTTTTTTAATTTTGAGTTAAATGTATTTGACAAAATTTCGCTCACGTGACCACTAATTGAATTTGTGAAAGTCAAAATAATTGTAAAGCACTTAAATAATTTGAAATATGCAAATTTAATCGTTATTTTAGTACTTTTAACGAAATATTATCCTAATTCAATTAAAAGTGATGAAAGTGAAACTTGACCCTCTTAAAACTCAAACTCGTATTAAAAAACTTTATTCAAAATAGATATATACAATATACGCCCACTAGAATTAATTACAATTAATTAAACTTAAGTCATGTTATTACATACAAGACTAACGTAAACATAAACGTAGCCGTAAGCGGTTTGCGTGTGAATGCACCATTATAAAAACCGCCGTAGACTTGCAATCCTGCCGTTTCGATGCTCTGCTTGCAATAGTCGCCATCGTAGAGCCATCCGACAAATTCCTGAGTCCTGAGATTCTCATTCCTGAGCCAGTCTTCCAACGGGCGGAAGTATTCGCGCATTGCGCTTCCGTCAAGACGCGTCTCGCCGGTGGTTTGGTACAAAACCTCCTTCCATGGTAGCGAGGAGCCTTTTTCCATCATTTGCCTGTCAAAATCGGGTCAATTAGTCTTAATTACCACAAAGAATTGGTATTGTTTGTCAAGGTTTTTGACGAAACAAAGCGCTTATTTATGTGCTATTTGGGCCGAAATGAGCATATCCTGGTGACTTTCAACAAGGAACTTTATCGGTTTTTTGTGGGGAAAAATGCCGAACCTTGAGGTTCGATGACAATAATGTCGAGTGGTGAGAGGTTGGATTGCAAGGTCTTGCAGGAATTGGGTGCAGATCAGCAGTGAAAAATTGCGCTCAAATTAAGTAATCGAGTGAGACAATTATTTCGAAGAGTAATAAAGCTAATTATTTTAATTAGATTAGGGATTAATTATGGTGGCATTGGGTGTGGAGAAAAATTGAGAGACTGGTAGGGGAAGTGGGGGAAAATGGATATCCGGTCAGGAAATTTAAAATCACTATTTCAGCAACTACAATTAACTGTTTAAAAATTTTTTTTTTTCTTCAACAGAAGAAAGTGTTAGGGGAAGTGAAGTCAAAATGGACAATCGGGTTATTAGACCCATAAAAAATTATTGGAAGATAACACATATGTATACCGTACTTTTTAATTTTTTTATTAACTTTGTTATTTTCGCAGCGTTTATCTTTTAAAATGCTGACGTACAACTATTTAAATTTGTGTACAACTATTTAAATTTGTTTCCTTCCTTTTTCTGGTATTTGGAAGTATTACACGAGTCTCTCAGTATTATCAAAAAAGTCTACTTTTCTTCTCTTATGCTTTATTTTTTGTTCTTTCAACTTTATTTGTGTGTTAGTTTCTTTTTATTGATAAATTCATGTTTTTTAACAATTTTTGTATTGTTTTTTTATTGCTTTTAGTTTTTTTTGCCATATAAACTGTTTTTCACATAGCTTTGGTATTAGTTGTTGATTTGTTTATTGATATTTTTAAATTATTTATTAATTTTTTTGCTTTTCAATCGACATTGTTTTAGTCAAATTGTCTTGTTTTTATGTTTTACCTGTTTTAACATGGTTTAGTTTTTGTTGATTAAATGTTTTCTCATATTATTTTTTGTATCTAATTTTTTCATTTTTATACTCTTTGATTCTTACCATGTAAAATTATTTAATTTCTGTTTGTTTTTTTTAGTGTTATTGTGTGATTTTTTGTTTTTCTACAAATCAACTGTTTTTAAACATGTTTTACCGAACTGTTTTTATTTATTAATCAACATTTTACATTTTTATATTTTGTTTGTTCCATTTTTTCAACATTTTTGTTTTTTGCTATTATTTTATTATTTAGTTTCATATATTAATTATTTAATATTAATATTATTTTAATTAAATTAAGGATTAATTATGGTGGCATTGGGTGTGGAGAAAAATTGAGTGACTGGTAGGGGAAGTGGGGGATAATGGATATCCGACCAAGAAATTTAAAATCACTATTTTAGCAACTACAATTAACACTGTTTCAAAAAAATGAAAATGTTGTATTAAAAACAGAAGAGTGGTACGGGAAGTGAAGTCAAAATGGATAAATGTGTCATTTGACTCATAAAAATTAATGGAAGATAGCACATATACCGTACTTGAACTTGATTCTCAAGTTGACACATATCACATCTTCTATCTCATATTTTTTCATTGTTGTCATTTTAATTTGAAAATCGTAGGTTACTACGATCAGAAATTTAATTAAAATCATAGAATTGTAGAAGAAGAAGAGGGGATGAACGCCTAATTTAATATATTTACTATTTCTAATTTTTATGTAATATTAGGGGAAGAGGAGAAAAATGGGTATTCGGTTCAAGGAAGTTACAATTAACAGTTTCCATGAAGAAACTCAAAAAATGTATTAAAAGTACAAGAAAATTACATGTTTATTATTGGGTTATTTAACCCAATCTTTAAAAAAATTATTTAAAAAATAATGTTAAAAAATTATTGGAAGATTTCACATACCGTGCCTTTATTTAAATTTCTGATCAAAGTAGCCTTGGATTCTCAAACTTAGTTTGCTGAGTAAAACAGAGACAGAAAATATACTTAGAAATTGACACATCTCAAATCCTCTATTTCAGTTTTTTTCATTGTTGTCAGTTTAATTTAAATCATAGGTTACTACAATCAGAAATTTAGTTGAAATCATAGTACTATAGTAGAGGAGAATGGGATAAATCGGACACCCTATTTAAAGTGGTTTAATATTTCTAATTTTTATGAATTAATGTTAGGGGAAGATAAAGAAAAATGGATATTCAGATCAAACAATTAAAATAACTATCTCAGTAATTAAAATTAATTGTTTACTTGTTTCACAAAGAAACTAAGAAAAATTGTATTAAAAGTAACACAGGGTGTTAGGGAATGTGGGGTCAAAGTGGATAATCAAGTCATTTAACCCAATTGATTTTTCAAATAAATACTGGAAATAACAAATATACCGTGAAAAAGAATGTTATATCTGTGACAATTTTCAAGTATTGAAGTTAAAAACCGTTAATAACAAAAACATTTTGATTCAAAAGTAACAAATATTTTCGATAGGGGAAGAAGAAACAAAACGGACACTCGAATTAAACTGTCTAGTTTATTTAAAAAAATGCATTTTTGTAATTTCTCTTTGGCAAATTTTTATGTAATGCTAAAAGAAAGAGGAGCAAAATAATAAACGGTTGAGTGTAACAAAATATTTACATATTTTATTAAAAAATCCGTAAAACCAACCTAATTATGATTTCCATAGCTTATTACAATTTTTTTAGATTGTAATTATGAAATATAAAAAATTGTAAATATGTAATTTGGCTTAACATACAAAATATATTAAAAACATGTAGGGGAACCGGGACCAAGATGGACACTTGAGTGTCAAAAATTTGGACAAATTCCCAAGACACGTCAACTAGATTTATTACAAAAACAACGTTTATTGTGTTTTGTTCGCAATTTGTTCAAATTTTCTAACGAGTTAATAATTGGCCGTCATTTTCCTCTCAGTTGCACAAACCTCATCTAATTTTCCCACTGTAGTCTACTATAAACAAGTCAGTTACGCTGAATGAGAGCTAATTAAAAATTCCAAACTTTCCTATTACGGTAACCCAAATATTTCACATTCATAAGAATCTCCTTCGCAATAGATTTTAACGTGTTTTATTATCGATTGCGCCCTCGAGCACTTGTGATATAATTTTCGAAGAGAGCACTCCGGGTGACCGGAAGACAACACACAACTGTTGCAATTGTCGACAATTTTGTTACTCAATCGGTGATGATAAGCCGTGAGGAAACACACTGTCTGATGTGAAAGCTCGTAGACACGACTTTAATGCAAGGCTAGATCTTACCAGAGATGAAAAATAAAGTGTCAAGAGCGGCGAAATTATTAATTAATTGTTGTTTTGCTCGCTGTCAAAACCTGAATTTTATGTAAAAGTGAAAGAAGTCAACTATTCTACTTTCAGTGCCCATCGTGTAATTATTTGACCTGAAACGTAACACTTATGTAACTGAAAATTTTTATATACAATTTCAAACGAGTGCATTTTCGGTATTTCCACTGATTCATAAATCGTTTCGTAGTGAAACTTGTAATTATTATGCAACAAATTAATTAATCTAGGCCAAGTTAACATCGTAGTAAGCTTTGATCTGATTTGCTTGGCATCACTCTGGTGCCTATTTTTGCCGTACTTCCCCTGGATAAAACTAAATCAATATGCAATGTTAAAAAGGCCACTTTATAATTAAGGAACTGTCATTTGTGATCAAAATTGGAATAAAATATATTTGTACTCTCTTCTTGTGGTTGAATGATGCAAACTTAAATATTTTGTTACATGTCAAGAAAGAAGTCACGTGACCAGAAATTTTTACTTTTATCACTACTAAACAAATTATCATTATTATGATTAATCAATAATCATATTCCAACGTCTATTAAAACAATAAATATTGCAAATAAAAATGCAAATATCTACAGTGGGTGTCCGGATGTTTGTTTTGTACCAATTGTTCCTATTGTAATAATTTTTTCCCAAAAACATTACTAAAAAAATACTCATTTTTTTCAATACAATCCCTTTTGTCACACGTCATAAAGTTGTCAAATTAATTCGTTTTTTAATTCAATTTCTAATTCAATAAAAAAATTCAAAGTAGAATTTTGAAATATTAAAATATAAATAATTCATTTAAAAAAAAACGTATAGTAACAAAAATTCTCTACCGAAAGGTAACCTGATTAGTATTTTTTTGATTGTGAGATATTTCGTAAAAATTGATTACAAATTCATAAGTATTAATTAATGAAATATAAATAATAAAATTTTTCAACAAATCCTTAATTAAAGCAAAATGTTTATTAAACAAATTCAAATATTTTATTAAACTCAACCATTTTCCATTTTGTTCCTCTTTCCTCTCGCACTGCATAAAAATTGGCTAATAAAAATATGACAAAAACACAAATATGTATTTGCTAAACAGTTGACTCGAGTGTCCATTTTGTTCCGTCTTCCTCTACCGTAATATTTTTGTTATCGTCCAGTAAAATAAATAAAAATTTAATTTAAAAATGTGTCAAAAATAATATTTAGGTCTTGTCAGATATTTTTATACTTCGCTTGTCTACATTACTCCCTCTTCCCCTAGCATCTTCAGCAGTTTAGCAGTTTTTTGTTACATTATACAGGGTGCCCCAGAACTTGCGCCTCAGAGAAAAATGCCATGTAAACTAAGACACCAGGAACATGGAAAAAATGTTAAAAATATTCTATCTATAAAAATTTCGAAGTTATAGGAGTTTAAATTTTGCACTTTGACTCTATTTATTTCTGTTGGAAAAATAATTTTCCAAGTTTTTTTGCTACAGTCTATTATTATTTGTGGCTTTAATTGGCAAACTTTTTGTATCTTTACTAAATAATTATAAAAAACATATACAAGCTCATCATTATCGTCAAATAGACATAAAAAAGTGAAATGTCAAAAAATAAATGTTATCATTTTTTGACAGATAGAATTTTTTAAACATTTTTTTCATGTTCCTGGTCTTCTTACTCGAAATTTTTCTTTGGGGCGCAAGTTCAAACACACCCTGTATGTATGTACATATAAAGTAATTATTGTACTGTAATTAATTTAATTTTTTTCAATCCCGATATTTATATTTCCCCAACTTCCCCTAACATTACTAAATAAAAAATGTTTTTTTCACTGTTGGAAATCATACCAGGTGAATAAAAAGCATGGAACCAAACGTTTTTTCTTGAACTATTTATTTTTTGGAAAAACTAATTGATAACTGATATAGTAATATAAAAATATTAAAAAAAATCGAAATTTTCTTTAGTTTTTGAGTCCTACAAAATTCTTTATTTTTCTAAATGGTAACCAACTATAAAATTATTTTTCACATAAAGGGGATGTTCTAAGGATTACAACTATCTACTTTATGTTTAATTTTTTTTACATAAATTGCAATTTTGATAAAAAAAATTGCATAACTCAAAACAAAATTTCGTTCTCAAAATAAAATCACACTTTTTATATTACTTTCATTTATATTAATTATTGTTATTTTCTGGAGGCAAATGATTAAAAAAAACCGCTTGGTTCTATACTTTATATTCACCCTGTATGTTAATGTATAGAAAAAACAAAAACAATGTCGTTGCCATAGTAACAACGACGTATCCATGGTAAAAAACATAACAAAATTTTCTCATGGGCAACTTGATTTGTATTTTTAATTATTATAAATTGCTTGTAAATTAATTCATAATACTCGGCCAAAATAAATAATACGATTTTCCAACAAAACCTTAATTAAATTAAAATGTTAATTAATTCAAAATATTCAATTAGCCGTCGAATAAATGCAAAATTGACAAAACTGCGTTTCATTTTTCGTTATTTATGCCTAATATATGAAAAAATATTGCATGTTGTAGAAAAAATGTCAGTGGTCGTGCCGGATTCGTTTCAAGGGTATATTTTTTAAAATGTTAACAAAACTTGAATAATAAAGAAAAACTTACGTCAAGATGCGTCCAGCTTCTTTGCTCCTGTAGATATCGCACTTGTGGAGAGGTCTCGTGAGGTCGGCGGGGTCATACTGTCCGGCGGCCCTACACAACGCCCTGTATATCTGGAACTGCAGCAGCGTACTCACAAAGTACCTGGAAAGAGCCAAGTTTAAGGCCTCTCGTCCTCACAACTGGCGCGTAAACGTAAATATTCTCCTCGAACGTTACGTAAAGGCCACAAATCGACTTTCTCACACAGAGGGAGAAGACTTTACACAATGTGGTGGAAAGTCCGCGATATAAAAGTGACTGAAAGCCCCCAAACATCATCCAGTTCATTGCGAACTAACGGAACTTCGATACACGCCACCAGCGATGAAGCCCTTGGTGAGTGCGCAAGTGATAAGTGAAGTGACAAGTGCAAGTGATTAATCGATTTTTTTCAGCTTTTATTATCGATCTTAGTCCTTGCTGTCGTGACAGCAGAGGAGAAGATCAAAGAGGAGAAAAAACAAACCAAGCGTGGATTACTCAGTCTGGGTTATGGGTATGGGAGTGACATCGATCATGGGTACTTAGTAGGAGCCGGCGGACACGGTGGTTTAGGCCTCGCGGGACTCTCCTATGGATTTGGACCCATCGATTTGGGACACTCCACTGCCATTGAAAAAACCATCACTTTGGTCAAAGGAGTACCAGTACCATACCCCGTCGAAAAACACATCCCGTACCCGGTGGAGAAACACATCCCGTACCCAGTCAAAGTACCAGTACCACAACCCTACCCCGTTGAGAAACACGTCCCGTATCCAGTCAAAGTACCCGTCAAGGTTCCAGTACCGGTACCCCAACCCTACCCTGTTGAAAAAATCGTACATGTCCCAGTCAAAGTACCAGTTGATCGTCCATACCCCGTCAAGGTTCTAGTACCCCAACCCTACCCCGTCGAGAAACATGTTCCATACCCCGTGAAAGTACCAGTACCCCAACCCTACCCCGTCGAGAAACGTGTACCATACCCCGTGAAAGTACCAGTGCATGTACCTCAACCCTACCCTGTGGTTAAACACGTCCCGTACCCAGTCAAAGTACCAGTCGATAGGCCCTACCCCGTGCATGTACCCCAACCCTACCCCGTCCATATTGAGAAGAAGATTGCTGTACCGGTCGAGAAATTGGTACCATACCCCGTGAAGGTTCCCGTTGATCGTCCAGTGGCCGTGCCTGTGCCTAAACCGTACCCCGTTGAGGTCAAAGTACCTTACCCGCAACCCTACCCTGTGGAGAAACCGGTACCCTACCCCGTCGAAAAACCGGTTCCTTATCCGGTTAAAATAGCAGTTGAGAGGCCAGTGCCGTACCCAGTGGTCAAACCAGTGGCGTACGAGGTGGAGAGACCGGTTCCCGTTCCCGTTAAGGTTCCCGTTGCCGTTCCCGTTCACGATCACTACCACCACCACATCGACCACTACTAGTGATCCACACTGTGTGTGTTATTTATCTCCGTTTATAAATACTTATTCTCGTTATTTATAAAATGCCAAATTAGTTACTTATATTTTTCTTTAATAAATAATTTAATTTCCAACGAGTGTTTTATTGCGTTATGACAATGGCAACATTTCCGGTTGAGACGACAATGGTGTGGTAACAGGGGCACTAGTTTCACTTGACGCAACGATGGGAAAAATTCGAGTAATTAGCGATAATTTAGCGAAATTGGATAAAATAATCGCAAAGTTGTTACGTGAAAATGTGACTTCAATGCTGGGTCAAGACGCAAACTTTCAATTTCACTAAAAAATCAATTGAATAATTAATCAGAGATGTTATCGCTCCACTTGGGAAAGCATTAAAGGTCAAGTGGGTTTGTAATTAAATTAGGATTACAAAATACGGTGCTAATTATTTGTAATTTGAATATACTTATGTTAATCAGCTGAAATTTTAATTTTGCGCAATTGTGTATGAAGTAATTAAGATTGAGTGAATAAATTAGTTATTAAACGGCGCTTGTCACACTTTTTCTTCATAGTTGAGTAAAAATGTGGCAAGCAAATTGGAAAAAAAATTTTGTGGTGTATTCGACTTCGCGTCGTGTTTCAATTTTATGCATCTTTCTTACCCTTTGTGTAGTGTAAAATCTTAAAATTTGACTTTTATTTTTGGCATTTTTAACTATTTGAGCAAAGTTTTTGAATTGTTGTATTTCACAGATTTGCTAATTTTAAAATTTTGCAACTATAGTTTAGAATGTAAAGTATTAGAAACAAAACATTTAAAATTAAAAAAATGCATTTGTCGAAATTGACGCCTGCGATTTTCTTTTTTTTTTTGACTTTTGTTTGGAAACAAATAGAAATCATTCAGGATCTCCAAATCTTAAAAATTAATATAATTATGTAATTTATTTATTTAAGTACATGTAATTATTTAATTTTTAGTAATCTATTCCCAAAAAAATAACAAAATATCAATTCTTTTTCTTTGTGTAGTTAAAACTTTGATAAAAAATATGAAACAAAATTCTGCTTATTCAACAATATACAGGGTGTTTAGTTTAAGAAATTAAGTTTAATTAAATTTTGATTTAGGTGTTTGTGGAATTATAATTTATCGTTTCGTTTTTTAATAAATAATTTCAGTCCTCTATAACCCATTCTGTATTTATCAAAATACTTACTGTAGCTATTAAAAACAAGGAATCAAGCACTTTTTGATTATTTTAATCACAATTTGGAAAAAATGGTATAGAACACACAATTTTTAAAAAAACTGAATCATTGCAAGTTGTCATTTGATTAAAGTTGCAAAAATTCTTGTTGTAACACCACTCGGCTGCGCCTCGGACTATATATTACTACAATTTTAGTTTTTTAAACAAAAAAATGTCTGTGGTTCCCATTTTTGTCTAATTTAGCAAATGAGAAGACCCAAATCTTCGAATTTTAAAAAAATTAAAATTTTTGTTTTTTTCTAACATGTAATAAAAAATTTAAAAAATAAATTAAGCATTTATCGAAAAATATACATGTTTTTTATTACAGCACTCATCTAAGCGTTGTGCTCTACTTACTCTCTATTTGAGTTTATATTAAAATCAAAACTGTCGTGTGCGGCTTTTATTTTTTTGACTTTTGTTTATAAATACATAGTAAAAAAATATTTAGAATCTCTAAATTAAAAAAAAATTGTATAATTAATTAATTAGTTTTAAGTAATCTATTTCCAAAAAAAAAATTAAAAATATCAATTCTTTTGCTTTGTATAGTTAACGCCTTGATAAGAAATATG